TACCTTAATGATGTCACGTTATTTTCGTAATATCATACAGTACTGACTAAACCACCATATCGTAATGAATATATGTATACCTTTTGATATTTGTTTTTTTTCGGATTTGCTTTGAGCAAATTTATTAACACAAGTACAGTATAAGTTTATGATCGGTAGGTCACATAAACTTATACGTACTATCCGATTTTCATATAAAAACCTTTTTGACTTTAGGTTAAAAGACTATGGTTCGTGTTGTAGACTATGAAAATACGTTTTCGACATTTTTTATTAGTGCTCAAACCCGATCTAAACGTCAGTTTCTAATATTGTTATTTTTCTTGTACACATAGGGATAGGTTGTACAACTAACAATTCTATTGCACAAGCTTATATTAATGCTAACATCCTGCACATTGCTTATATATACAATAATAATAAGTGGATTTAATAACGTTTAGCTTAAGTGATACATCGTATATACACTAATGAGTTGTATTTTTATTACTTGCCGTATGTAAAACACAGGAATAGATGAGCATAATCTGCATCCCCTGCTTGAATCAAATTCGACCTGTTATACGAAATTTTAACTTCTAAGTTTTTAAATTAAATGCTTTTCAATTCCAATTTTTTCCCACATTTTGCATAAAAAATACCGTTCCTGAACGATCGTTGTACTATTCCTGATAGGGCAGAAAAGATTGATTTAAATACCGTTCCTGATAGGGTTCTAAAAGAGGATCTCCAAATACTATACTACTATATCGAAGTATATGAAAAAAGTTAGGATTAGGTTCGTTTTTATAACCCTATCAGGGACAGTACTCAAATAAATTTTTTTTTGCAATTCCATCAAGTTTGGTACTGACAATCCATTAGGGATTGTATTTTGCCATTTTGCAGACCTGTTTAATAAATTTTAAATTACTATCATACACAAATACAATCTCGAAACCAATCCTCGAAACCATAAATACAAAGTTCCATTATAATGAACAGTTTGACATAAACGAAAACGATTCAATAAAATAAAAGAACCAAAGTGGTAAATTAACATTTTACACGTAAAACTAGCATGAATACAGTAATAAAAGAGATATAAGATATGCCTTATTCACGTTTATGGCCAGGACGATGGTCGTTTGTTAAAAAAATTAACTAATTAAATCTTGATTTTAATAAATTTTGTAAATATTAAATTGAACTAATTTTCTGTTTATATATTTAGATATCCCAACATATTTAAATATCACACAATTTATCCATTTTATATCGCCATAAACTCAAGTTATGTCGACAGTGTAGTTTGAAAAATCAATGTTAGAAAGAAATGTTAAATATTGTGATATTAATGAATTTACTGCTTTCGAAAGGCTCCATGAAGGAAAGTTTGGAACAAACAATAATTAACAGGTCATTAAAAATATAGCATCGGTCAGAATTTTAATTGGTTATGACTATAATCAGTCACTGATCAGCTATAATAGTAATTGAACTCATCCCTAAATGTAATTGATGATTTTATCTCACGTTCAGTATTGTTAGGCATTATTGAGTGTTATTGATGGCTTTGTGCATGTACCAAATACGTATATACAACAATCTTCGCGTAACTCCACCAGATCTGCTATAATTTCAGTGTCACATTATGAGAAATTAGAATGTATATAAAGGTTTGCCCTTGCTCTTAATTAAAAATGGAGGTATACTTTCTGAATTCATCCCTAACATAAATTTAAGTTCTCTCTCATAATAAATGCTTATAATCATGAAGATACGAGCTCCGTATTTATTGTCCTGTTTGCTTAATTTGTCTAACGCCAGCTGTACTCAGTAGCAAGCACTCCTTTCAATCGTTACACTAATTTTAATAAATGGTGGTCACGTGACACTTCTTTTGGCTATCTCCAATTTTAGCATGTTTACTGTTCGTACACGTATACATGGCGTAGAAGCTTATCATTAGTTGCACGAACTCATTATTAGCGAGGGCAATTGCCTTTCTGTTTGGAGTTTTCACTATCTCTAGTGATACTACGACGTTCTTTAAAGATCATACCTAAGAATTCCACATCTACTTAAATTATATTTCCGCTTACAACAATAATAGTTTTATTTTCTTTTCATTATATAGTCCTTTTACAATCCAGTGAACACGAGAAATCTTGAATGTAAGAGAAAATGCCTATATCCAGGTATGAAACAATATGTACTTTCGGATATGACCGGCGCAGCATCTGTAATAAGGCGTAAAGCTGGAGTTGTTCCATCTCATTAAATTGAATACTTTGTTACAACAAGCATTATAAATCTTAGAGGTGCAGACATAATGTCATGACTGGTCATGACTATAATGACATTTTTTGCTGTACTACAATATAGTTATGACAGGTTACGCATATAATGGAGTGCCAGTACAGAGTATAGGCCAGGCCATTTTTGTAGTGTACCTTATACTTTACAGAAACATGCAAATTTGCAACTTTAATGCTACTTGCAATTAATTATAAAATAACTATATAGTTACTTTATAGTAACTATAGTTTTTCATTTAATATAAGTTAGCAATACGCCTACCACTATTTTACTACTACAATTTTAAACTTAGATTTTTTATAAAATTGTAGTAAAAGCATTGCTAATATATAGTAACGTAGTAGTAAAATAGTAGTAGGCGTATTGCTAACTTATATTAAATGTAAAATATAGTTGTTATAAAAATAACTATATAGTTGCTTTATAGTTAATTACAAGCAGCATTAAAGTTGCAAATTTGCATGTTTCTATAAAGTAGGTACTTTCAGCACCTGCAGTTTTCTTTGAAGTATTCTAAATTCGGAGTACAGTTATTTTAGATCACTATTTAATAAAATAATAGTTGACAACGTCGATTTTTTGATTTTTGAACTAACACACATATCTAATGTACCTTATTTGACATAACATAGTATTTAGCGAAATTTCGAAACTTAGTAAATTTTTAAACTTTTGAAATATCACATACTCTACAGTATATTTGATGCGTTGCTTTAAAGATTAAAAGAACCTGCATGGCATTCTGATTTCAATGGGTACAGAAACTCTAAAAGTATATATTCAGTTGCAAGGCTATGTCTATACTTCTGACTACATCATTGCGCCCACCGTATATTATATCTAAAGTATATGGATTATAAAAAAGTAATTAAATTGAATTCAACTATTT